ACTTTTTATCCCTGAAATAGTTCATCCCCGCGAAATGTCCGGTTCCCGAGGGATACGTAGCTTTTTGTAATTTTTATAGTTTGTATGTTTTCTAATACCATGCGTACGAAGTCGCGGGCAACAGCTCGTATTTAATATTTTTGATTTATTTGACCACTGCTACCAAAAGTTATAGAGTAAAGAACTAGAATGGCCGCGTTAGGCGACGTGGTATAAATACATTTCGGTAATTATTCTTAATTAGTAAACGGCCAAAAAAATCGTTATTTACAAACAAGGGAACGCTAAAAATATCTTGCCCAATAATCTTAAGAATAATAAAACATTCTTAATAAAATAAATTCCTATGTTACCTTATTTTTTACGCTTTGAAGTTTTTATAAACATTATTAAGCGTTTATTATCGAGTCGGTCCGTTGCGAATCCATTACCGTTTGGTTTCACCGATAACAATCGCGATATGCTTTGCGGTATAAACTGGCTTTTGCTAACGAAATACTGTTCTTATAGCGATTTAATAAAATAGAAAAGTTATTGTGATTAATAATCTAAATATCACAGAGACACAGCACTATTGAAGTAAAGACAAAGGATCTCCCATTACGTATTATGAATCAAGAATTTCAGCATGAGAAACCTCTGACAAGGGTTTGCTTATGTAAGTATTAAGTTAGTTAAGAAATCGGTCTTTGTGCTTCCATGTAATCTTACTAATATTATAAATGCGAAAGTTTAGATGGATGGATGGATGGATGGATAGATGGATGAATGGATGTTTGTTAATGTTTGTAGCCTAAACGGCTGAACGGATCTCCATGAAATTTGGCACAGCCTTAGAGCATAGTCTGGAAGAACACATAGGCTACTTTTTATCCCGGGAATAGTTACGGTTCCCGTGGGATTCATTAATTTAGTTTTTTAATGTTCACTCGATCATTCTGCAACGGTTCAACATATCTTATTGAAATTTGGCGCAGATATAAAACAAAGTCTGGAGTACACATGAGATAAGCCGAGAAATGTCCGGTTCCCGAGGGATACGTAGTTTTTTGTAATTTATATAGTTCGTATGTTTTCTAATACCACGCGGACGAAGTTGCGGGCAACAGCTCTTATTTTATATTATTAAAATAAAACATGTCATATGAATTTAACGATACTTTTTATTGCTAATTTAATTAAAAAGACAAAAGATCATTAGAATATAATCAAAATAAAGGTCGAAAATGTATTTAAAACGAAATGAAAATGATCTAATTAACATATTCATCGAACAAATGTTTTATTGCCAAATAAAATCAGATCGACAACCGAATAAATTAATTTAATTTTTCAATTTGTTCTTTCTACCAGTGTGTCACGACGTTTAGATGAAATTGTATCTTAATTTACACGTATTATTCGGTGGGTGGACGCCGTCCTTGATCTAATTAATTCAATTCGGAACTAATGATCGCTCGCTCGTTCAACAATCGAATTCATAATCGTTTTATTGAATCGATTAATCGAGTCTGGCGCCGTCTGCTGTAATACTCAAACTTACCATTAAGCTCTTTATGTCCATAGATATAAAGGTAAAAATCTGATAAACGAAGATTTTGAATATTCAAGATTTGAACAACTGCACTTTATTAATTTGAAGTTTTATTTAAAATACATTACAAATATTTAGAGGCACCGTCTTTACTTAATTGAAAATGACGTATTTATATGTTTTTTATTGTCGGCACATGCCAAATTAGCAATCGAGTAGTTTAGTCAAAGGGCATACACCTTTGACTAAACTACTCGATCTTTAATTGTGCAACTAAACAGTTGAATTGGGTGCGAAACAATCGACAATCGCACAACAGTTCAGCGATAAATTAATGTTCAAGTCACTATTGCTTCCTTACTTAAGCCCGCAACACGCAATAGTTTAGTCAAAAGTGTGCGCCTGCACTTCAAAGAAGTCAAAGAACGACATTAGGTCCGACGCATTGCTGTCGAGCTTAGTAAAATATGTATAATAACATAGAAAAGTAAAATAACAAGGCAAAATACGAAAGCAATCTTGTGACAGTTTTTCAAATTTACAGAAGGGTGCTAGTGAGTTAATATAATTTATTTTGATTTATGTTCACCGGGTCGGATAACTTTGTCGGTTTATAATCAAATATACCGTATACGGTAGAAGAAATAATCAAGTAGGGTTGGCGACAGGCAAAAAAAAATACCGAATCCAAAATAGGTTTTTGATAGAGTTATGTGGAGGACAAAAACCTGCTGCGCCGACCCTACAAGAGTAAGATAAGAAAGATGATGACTGTATACAATGTAACATTAGAAATTAAACGAAGTTTCGTCTCGTAAGATGATGGAAAATTTTTTGTAAGCGCTAATGTAAACAGTTATGATTTCTATGATACAATAGGCTAATGTTATGACTACAACACTTCTGTCTTGTAAATAAACAATTATTGTTTGATAACACACCTTTTATATTTATTATGCAGATTGTTGCATCCTCACTATTTAACGTAACATCTTAAAAGACTTAGGGCCTGTCCCACCAAATTGTAAATTGTCTGATAACAATCCAACGTGTAAAATACTTGATGGAAACATAGGTTTTTGTTACCTTATTTGACAGTGATATTTTTAAGCTATCTGAGCCTCTATCAGCCAGTGGTGGACAGACCCTTAAGGTACGAATTAGCTGAATACAGTTTAGAATAGAATACGAATAAGACAGTTGAATAAATTACCTTAATATACTGATAATAATTATAAAAAAGGTTAATGAACGATAAAACATTATAGGGGTGTGAAACAATGTTATTTAACCAAATTAGTTCTAATTTGATTAAATACCCGCATTGTTGAAATATTGCTAAGCGAAGTTTTAAACATTTGAATAATTTCAAAATGTTCAATTCAGTATTATGAACTATATTTACTGTAAACATATTTTCAAAGGAAAATCACCTAAAACAAACCTCGCTTAGTGTTTTGTTTCAACTCGAAACTACATAAACAAATGACATACGTATGTAAGACTTCGTTTACATTTGTATTCAAAGTTGGTTACAAATTCAGAGCGAGTTCGACGTGCTTGTTACAATGGTGAGGAAAACGGTCTGCGAATAAAAGACTTTAACGCGTTCCTTGTAAATTGTCGCTACATTGCGTGTTGCATAATATACTGACATCTTTGAATATAGAGAAACGGACTAGGCAAATACCTGTTGCGATTAAATTATTTTAAAATATTATTTCTTGTAATCAATTGTATAGCACACGAAATACTTTAGGAAAGGTTTTTAAACAGTTTTTTGATAATTAAAATCGAAAAGTTCCTAAAATATACACAAATATTCATATCTAATAATATTTTTAATAGCGTCAATGTTAATTGATGTAATCTTATTTCTGATCAAATTGTATTTATTTGATAAGAATGCGTTTATTTTTAGTCGAATAGAAATATGTTATCTAAAATATATACTTTGCATAATAGATAAGAAAATAAAAGAAGGAAAAACGAGACAAACAATAGCATTTTAAGAATCTATAATTAATATAAAAATGTTCAATAATTAATTTATTTCAAAACGTAAATTATAAAACATATAGCGATTAGCCACAACTAGCGACATCTGTGGTAATTCTGTTTGGCAACAAAACATCGTTACATGAAGTACAACATTTCGCTTTGTAAGTTAGTATAATAATTCAATGTAATAAATCTTTGTATCAATAACGATCGACACGTCAATTCATCAAGAGTTAACTTTTTATTCTACACGTGTTTGTGACCGTACTCGAATGTCCACAGCTTCACGGTATAGGGGATTCTGAGAAAAGCTTACTATAGCAATAGGGCTGCCTCACATATATCAAAGAATATCAACACACCTCAACTTATGGCATTTAGCAATAGAGATGAATTCGATTTACAACTAGTTTAGTAGCTAGGAAGGGTTCTTATGAGATTGTCAATAGCGTTATTAGAGTAAAAAAGCGTTTTTTTTTACTCTAAACTTTTATGGCAAATTATTACTAAATTGGATGATTTGAAATTTAAAGCAACAAAAACCTAATAAAAAAGACAAAAAGCCTTATAGTAAGCAATTCTTAAATAGCTCTGAGAGGTGTCAAACTTTTCGGTGCAAATGTGACGTGTGTCCATTCTATCTGACGACAAATTTGATGAATATTTTTTGACAACCCTACAGTAAAGTACCATATTAGCGCTAGGATATCTGTTGGCACACGTTAGTATGCGCAGTCATGAATATTAACGAATAGTTTTTAGTCTACTAGTTGTATGGCGTTAAAATTATTTCACTCCATCAGTAGACGGCTTCGAATTAAATTAGAAAACCAGCATCGACGCACATTCCCTTACAAATAAAAGTTTCTTTTATTTCACATGACTCTTTCTTGAAACTTGTTAAGATTGTTGATTAAAAGCTTTCTTTTACATGACACAAATTTCCATCTTCTCCTACAATTATATTCTTAACTTCGCTTTAGTACGAAATCTTTACTACCATAAATTCGAAGTTGCAAAGGCTCATAAGGAGTTTATGGATAACAATAATATTACCAGTCGTTTACGTAGAGAATAGGGATAGTTAAGGTTGCAACAAAAAATGTTCAATAGCATTTCTACCACTGATAAGAGTATCCTGTCTTATGGAATTTAGTGGTAGTATTAGTTCAGTCGTCTTAAAACGTGACATAACGCGCTTGCTCAAGGCCACTGTAACTAATACTTTGACCTTAGGTCAGTTGAATCGCATTGCAAGTCCCCGGACACTCCTTTTACTATCAAGAATTTGGGAGTGGCTGATTACATCATATGCATGCCATCATTAAAGTAATAGTATACAAGCTTGTTATATATTTAATTTCGTAAAATTGCGTAAAATAAATTGTCTTTTGAACAATTTATCAAAGTATTTAAGGTATCAAAATTCTGTAGCAATTGTTTAACTGTTTTCTTTTTGTTACAGCATGCAAACGCAGTAAGGGATTCCGCTCGCCTGATCCTTGAATCACCGGCTCCAGAAACAGAAGAGGCTGTAGTCCTGGCCAAAGCCCTGCGGTCCCGACCTCCAGTCAACATGCTCCCAGCGGCCAAAGCGGGAACATTCTTCGCTCGAGACAACGTCTCCAACTTTATTGAATGGTGCCGCCGGGCGCTCGGTATACTCGAATGTCTACTCTTCGAAACCGATGATTTATGCCTTCGAAAGAACGAAAAACACGTAGTCCTTTGCCTTCTAGAAGTAGCTAGGAAAGGCGCCGTGCTTGGAATGCCTGCTCCTCTGCTTGTGCAAATGGAGAAACAGATCGAAAGAGAATTAGCAGGAGAAGAATTGAGACCGGATGACTCTGCTTTGGGCTTAGTCCCCCTCGGTCCTCAACCGCAATTGGTGACAAATGATTTAAGAAGCTTGGACGAGCGTGTCAGGGATTTAGTCGAGCGATGCTCTTGTCCTACACAATTCCCAATGGTCAGAGTATCTGAAGGAAAATATAGAATTGGCGACACCAGGATTCTGATATTTGTTAGGGTGAGTTTCTTTATTCGTTTACATCCTTAAAACATAAGTACACTGGACATCCTGTTCTGGTCTAATCAATTTTATAGTAAGTAAACACCATTCCTCTTTTGGTCTATTTCTCATCCATTCTTGTCGTAATCGGCAGTGCGATAACTCGCTTTGACAGCCGATATATCATCCAGATCAGATTACACATCCTGTACATTGACTACAGCCATAACTTTTTGTTTTTAACACTCTGTATAAAGTGTAGGAAAGTCTTTTATAGTTTCTTTAGTTGACAACTCAAAAATTACCTTTTAAACCCAAATACTCTTAACTTAATTTAGTTGGTGTTACGCTTAAGATTCTCATTCAAATCTCTATGATTGTACGATTTATTTAATGTCTAGACACGCGACTTCGTCATGAAATATATTCAATAACTATGTATCTATTATGGATCCATTAGTTAATTGCCTAGACTCGACTTATAACCTGTTCGAATATCGCCATATTTGTCAACCTGCGCTATTCCGCTTTATAAGCATTAACTTGCGGTTATTTAGGTCAATCGATCATAAACGTTAGTCGTTTGTTTTGTTTCCTGCTCACCTCCGTGCGGCAAAGCGTCGCCGTTGCATGTTGTTGCGTTGAATACATTATTGTAGTGACACCATGAATGCTCAGGGAATATTTTTTCAGACTTTGTTTATTCATGAGTAGTATTAATTGGTCGTTAACCGAAAGTCGAATGTTTAATTCGTTTGCTATCAGATTTTTTAGTTCAATTTGTGTTTAGACATAGGCATAGGTATGTTTTCGTACTTTTTAAACTCAATTTTGGGGTTTAGGTTCACTATAGTAAAAGTGAAAAAGAATTCCGTTTTAAGATCCGAATATTAAATTAAATTAAAAACTCTTCAATGCAAGCAAAATCTCATCATTATGTCTTGTCCATTTTTTTTAAATCACTTAGATGTCACATATCGCCATATTTTTTCTTTTTAAGAGTTTTTAAGACTTATCCGCTGTTTGACTATATTATGGTGACTCTATTAGCGCGTGTATAATTTAAATAATTTACCATACTTAGTATATGAACAGTGAACATACAGTACTTATTATAATAATCAGTAGGTGAGAAAATTGATCGACGATTTAGTTGTGTAATTGCTCGTTAATTTCTGCATAATCAACGATAAACGGACAAGTTTATAAGTTAATAATATAGTTGATATTTTTATAAAGAAAATAATAATGTTTTAATTAAAATCTACCTAATAATAACTATACAATGGTGATGTTGACTATAGTATGCACCAATTTTTATGATCGTTTTTAGCCGAAAAGCTAGGGTAAATGTAGGTGCGCCCCCTGGTGTTCCGGGTGCGCCTTGCGAGTAGTCTGGGGACCCCACCCCCGGTAAGCAGGATCCGTTAACGCGGACGACGCTGGCTGGGTCGCGGAAGATTGCTCAAACATTCCCGTGACCCAGCCATTGGCGAAAAAAAAACGGGTAAATGTAGATGGTGGCATCCCCTACTCGCCCCGTTTCTTCCGACGTCCATGTCAGTTTTGTGTTAGAATTCTTTTGATTAATAGGATTTACTTTAAATCTTAAAAGCTGTAAAATATTTGCCTAACAGAAGAATAAGTAGTGTGTTTTACTGAGACGAAAATTTTCACGAAATGTTTGATACTAGCTTTCGTCCGCGACTCCGTCCGCGCGGAATAAAAAAACAAAAGCAAGTAGCCTGTAACTTCTTCCAAACTATATTCTTCATCTATGCCAAATTTCATCGAGATCCCTTCAGCTACAAACTCTTACAAACATCCATCCATCCATCTTAACTTTCACTTTTATAATATTTTATACTTTTATAAAAAACAAATCTAAGATTATTTTATAGAAATACCTGACTAGATTAAGATAAGATAGTTATTGATAAAAAACATGGATGGTTGAACGTTATTAAACAGAGTTCAATTTATGCTGGCAATGAGATAAATAGACAATAGGCTTATCATGTTCACATTAGGCATTGATTTTGCAACTGAGGCGTGTCTGCATGTCTGCGTGTGTGCAGGATTCGCGATTCATGTAGCCGCCGCGTGGGAAAGCTAGGACCAACCTTGAGTGGTCCATTCAATACAAATGGTCTCGAACTGGTGGCCTCGTGCGTTTAGGACCTCGCCTTGTGACCCTTAATATGGAGCGTTCGATAAACTGTATTGAACCACCAGTATAATTTGATCTCTATTGCCATTCAAATACTTAATCCAGACGATCATTGAGAAATGGTTACGATAAACATCTACCAGCTTACGATGACCTGCCTCTGAGTACGTGTTGTTACATTTCAAATGTCAGTTGAATACTGGTTGCTAATAAGGTCGAGCTCCTAACGTTTTCTTTACAATATCGTACAGGCTTTGATTTGACCAAAGATGGAATCGAATGCCAGATATGAATCATCGATCTGCGAGGCTTTAATGGAAACGAGTTGTTTGTATGGTTTTATAAATAAATTGGTGTTTCGACTAAAATAGACATGGCCGACCGTACCTCACGTTTGTAACTTCGATACGCCCGATATGGATGTGATATGCGATTGGCAAAGAAATAAAAATACATTTTGCTTCCTATAAGTCGTTAGTGTATGATACGTATGTACAACTATAAACTACGAGCTGTTGCCCGCGACTTCGTCGGCGTGGTATTCGAAAACATACAAACTATATAAATTACAAAAAGCTAGGTATCCCTCGGGAACCGGACATTTCTCGGGGATGAAGCTTGTCCCATGTGTACTCCAGTCTTTGCTTTATATCTGTGCCAAATTTCAATAAGATATGTTGAACTGTTGCAGAATGATCGAGTAAACATTAAAAAACTAAATTAATGAATCCCACGGGAACCGTAACTATTCCCGGGATAAAAAGTAGCCTATGTGTTCTTCCAGACTATGCTCTAAACCTGTGCCAAATTTCATGGAGATCCGTTTAGCCGTTTAGGCTACAAACGCTAACAAACATCCATCCATCCATCTATCCATCCATCCATCTAAACTTTCGCATTTATAATATTAGTAAGATAAAAGCTATGTAAGCTTAAAGAATATTACATATGTCTTATTTCATAGTACATAGGCATAGTTCACAACAAGAAAAGATCGAAATAAATACTGTTTAAATCGAAAGTCGTTTTAAACATTACTGAATACTACGCCTTTGGCAACTATAGCCCTTTAGAGCAATCCTGCGTGAAATTGCTACCACACCCCACATAATGCCGAGTTTTTCTTAGTATCCCTTCAGGCTCTTACTCTTTCAACTTAGGTCACCTTTGACCGAACCCTTAAAGGTCTTCAGATGTTGGCCAACATTAACCATAGACTATTATTTTAAAAACAAAGATTAATTTGCAAATATTTTCTTCACAGATCCTTCGTTCCCACGTGATGGTACGCGTTGGTGGCGGTTGGGACACACTCGCCCACTACCTGGACAAACACGACCCGTGCCGTTGCCGCACACAGCACCGGACCTCACTCTCCGCACGTCTGGCACGACCCAAACACGACCTCGCTGGCGCTACCGTCACTTACGAAAGACCCGACGCTAGCCCAACATCCCTCCCATACACAAAAACCGAAAAATACGAACCAATGTCACTCCAATATTCTCCAAAAGTTTACGAGGAACCGAGAGCACATTATCAATCGAATCACAAGCTAGATGCTCCATCCAGTTTACCATACATGGGGGAGATGGATAGGGCATGTTCTCCTGGTAGAAAGTATTTAACACCTCGGGCAAACAGCCCTGGTAGATGCTCCGCTTCGCCTGACAGAAGGACCAAAATCGTAACTACCAATCACTTGGTACCATCACCTCATGCTATAAGGAATAAAAGTCCAAGGCCGGTGTCACCCGCACCAGCCACAGAAAGTGCATCTGACAACGGTTCAGAAGTATCCGATGAGGGTTATAGGAGCCTGGGAGTGGTCGCCGGGTCCACACAGGGGTCGCCGTCAACGAAAACAACCAATCGATACTCGATTCATAGTCAGAATTCTATGGATGACGCAGATTATAACGGTAAGTTGATAATTACTTAATCTTAAAGTATAGACTAAGTAGTTGAGGTAGGAATAACATCATACTATCATACTAATATTATAAGTGAGAAAGTTCAGATGGATGTTTGTTATAGTTTGTACCCTAAACGGCTAAACGGATTTCGATGAAATTCGATATAGACGTAAAGGATAGTCTCAAAGAACACATTGGCTACTCACTTTTGATTTTAAATCCACGCAGACGGAGCCGCGGGCGAAAGATAGCTGGTGCAATACTGGCACACAAACTTTACTTTAAACGTAATAATATAACATAAAAGAAAATGTCATATTTTCGTATGAATTTTGATAATAATTCATCACATGTTTGACAGCTATATAGAACATCAGAGGTTGTTTCTCAACATCCTGTTATTGTTTATTGTTATAAATAAAACATATTAATTGTAACTCGTGCAGTAATTACCATTTCCATTGTCTTCCCGCCCGTTTGCTGAATAAATGAGACAGGTAACAAGTACGCATTTCTAATGTTTTAATGCTCAATGGGAGAAACGTAAAGTACCCAATGAAGCCGCGGTACGCGATCTCCCTATTGATAGTTTGAATATTGTGGTTTAAGTAAGACGAGGTAGCGATATTAAAATTATAATATTAAAAAGTAATCATCTTTAAAGAAAATTAGAAATCAAATTAAATGGTGTCCTCAAAATATTTACTAAATAATCTGTAATGTAACGTCAATTCAATGTAATGTTTGAAAGAAAATAGAGACAGGTTGATTCATTAAAATATCTGACTTGTTAATTAATTTTCCTATATTTACTCCAATAAATCGTATGGTATAATGACTGTACAGGTTAAAGTGCTTCATGCGCCCCGGGCAGTAATTCTTTGTTGCCTCCTTATTCAGCACTTTTGGGGGTTACGTGTGAACATGGTTACCCACGACTGTAAATTACAGACCTGTGACGCCCTTTTCTATCGAGCGCCCTGGGCGGTTTCTAATCTCGTCCTACTTTAAAGCCCTTAAACACCACAACCGAAGATTAGCAAGTTTTAATACTCCTACATTCACTTCAATACATTGATCACAAAAATTTAAAAACGATTTCAAGCATTCCAAAATCGCTTCAGTTTATAACTTATCAAACAGCGGTCAATTCCGCTACAATAATACTCGTGGCCTCTCTTCCGTTAAATTGCTGCGTTATGCATCAATGCAATTGGAAATGCATACGGTCTATAATATAAACGCACATACTATTCGTAAAATACATAAAGAATCGCCTCATTGATAAATTTATTCGTAATTCTTACAACCGTTTCTATAAAACGTAAATACAAAAATTCACTCTGCTTCGCTCGAGGCTCTTTAAAACTCACTATAAAAATAAATGGAAATCACAGTAACCGTGGACTTATAATTTAACGCTATTGTGTCGTTTCACTATTCGGCCGTTAGGTTTTCAATAGAAACGAAATATACTAGTCATAATGACTAATGTGGTATTTTAATTATTTACACTAATAGGTGAATAGTTAATCTAATGGTCCAAATACTAAAACTGCAAACTGCTTTAGTAATTTCTATAAGACTGGCTGTAAATCTAATAACACCATTAAACGTATTGTCAAAAAAGAATGTATGGAATTCCAGGTGTGTTAGGAAAAAAATGTAAAAGAAAAGAAGCCTTGGGACAGCTGATTGTCAGTCTTACGCCAGTCCATTATGCTACGACAGTCAGCTGTTTTAACACAATGAGATTTCCTACAGGGATATTGTGTCCATGCAAATAATACAGTCATTCAATGCTTGACATCTGTCCCTTTCTAAGTTCGTAGAAATTTCTTTTCATCTCTTTCTAACGTAAGCGTGAGGGAACAGAGGTTTAATACAGATTTTTACTTTTGTGATGTAAATTATGAATGCTTTCTGGTAAGAATATGCGAGTGTTATGCGTTTTTGCCTCGCCCTATTTCGCGCTCTTTTGCACTTATTGTTCACTCTTGATGCAGCATTTATTTAGAACGTGCACCTGAAACTAAACTATCGCACAACTGTTTAGTCCCGCTTTGATTCCTATGAGCTTATATCGTTGCTCGATTTTTAGTCGTGCAACTAAACAGTTGTATTGCCTGTGAAACAATCGACAATCGACAATCGACAATTGCAAAACCGTTGTGGGATAGTTTACTCAAAGATGTACGCTCGTTCTTACTCTGATAATGACAGGCTAACAGCCTTGTGTCACAATTTTCGTATGCAATTATTTTCAAGGTCGCGAGACTCTGGCCAATGATTCATCTAAATTTAAATTTTATTAAATGTATTTTTGGTTGTCATATTAACTTTTCTTTGCCTAAAAAGACTGGCTGAAAAGAAACGATTAATAATTTGCATATTACGTATGTTTTGATACCAATATGGCCGCTTGTTTTGCGTCAGTTTTGGACTGAGACGCTATTGTATTGATTGACGTCTTTAGATATTATTTTTAATTTGATATGTATTAATTACTACTGAATAAGGGGGCGCATAGTAAGGGGGAATATCTTCTCTCTGTGCGTCCCCTCCTCTGTGAATTAAAAGTTGGATTACAACTTCAAATGCGGATGTGGGCAACGGTCACATCACTATTTAGGTGGTTTTAGGTTGCACATTACTCGTCTTCCACTGTAAAAACCATTGGTCGAAGATATTTCTAATAAAAACTAAGAGACTGGTCAAGTTACCCTTAATTAACTCTGAGAACTACTTTAAGAATTGAAGTAACTATTATAATTTATGTGTGGGTTTCCGTAGCGTAGTAATGAATTAAAAACTTAAAAATAAAACAGAACGAATTCCTTCTTAGAGTTTCAGAGAGAGTCGGTATGCGTCTGTTTTGAAATATTCTCACGTGGTAGCCATTGTAGTAAAGTTACCCCTTGCTTAGCGATTTTCGTCCTTACTTTTTAATGTAAAAGGATAATAATCCCATAGCTGTTCGAGGTCTGAAAGTGAACTTTTGAAAGAGGATACGTAGGCTTAAAGCGTATTTCATTCCTCCTGTATTTGTTATTCGAACCAAATTATTAATTTGAATTGAAACTTTCGCGCTATTTACTAAGAATTGATTTAGAAGATACTGGCATCAGCCATCAGGCTACAACGTCCGCTTGGAATGTAAAAAAAAAAACTTTAATTAGTAGCCTATGTGTTCTTCCAAAAGATGTTCAACATCTGTGCCTAATTCAAATGAGATCTGTTGAATCTTTGATGTGAAAATGTTATCTCTCCTTCTCTAAAATAAAGTTTACAGAAGTATGTCGTGACCGAAAACGAAATTCATTTTTGTATGTGACTGTACTTAATAAAAATTACAAGAATCGAATCACCGATTTCTAGACTAATCTATCACCGCCATGACAGATCATAACAGTACTTTTCCATGATTTCCGCACGTGACTGTACTTCTCGGATAGTCTGTGAACAATCTGGTCATGCCTTTTACGTGAAGAATGCGGTCCGGACTTACGCGGGACTAAAATGGATCAGACCTGTGATACGGGGTTCATTAGGCGACTAAAAATAGATTCTGTCAACTTAACTTAGATCTTAGACCATTCATTAAACAACTCTTAATGAAAAACATTTGTAAAGTAGTCGCTAGTTCCTTAATATTTTGTACGGTTAATTGACTCCCTCAGGCACCAATTAACGTCTCTAAGTTCACTAGAGGCTTTAAGTAACCATTCTACTCTAGATGTGGAAATAAGAGTTGTAATTATGATTTCGAAAGTCATTCTAGTAGTTTCTAGAATAGGAGTTTACTCATTACGAAGATAACTCGTTCTTCTTTACATGAACTTACACGTAAACTTCCATTACATTGTAATACTGGTCTGTTATAGCCCCTAAAGAACGCTTTATAAGGCAATATATGACAACCGCGCACTTTATGGCCCAACAGGAAGCATACTGCACATAATAACGCCATTAACACGCAATGAGAATGTGATAACGTGATCATACAATTTCACCAATATTCAGATTTAAATTCATTTTAGCACGGGAAATCGAGCTTTATAGCTAAAAAGATTTTCTTAATAGGTGAAACACGCTTTCTTCTATTTAATTATGGTGTTCAAATTGCTTTCGGTACAATTTAAGTCTTTTCGTTATTATTCCAGAGCGTCTCGAGCACGATGACGGCTGCCACATGGACAAGAACGAGCGCATTGACGACTACGTCAGCCTGACCACCGGATTACGCAAGACAGACTTCTCTGATACGTTCTACGGCGGACAGAGCAGGAAGACCAGTTCCGTCGATGACAAGTCCAACCGCGCCAGCCCCGAGTGCATCATCAGCACAGAGAGCAACGACTCCCCCAGCAAGAGTCTCAGACCTAACAGAGAAGTCTCCGAGTCACCAACAAAGACCATACGCAGCAGACAAGCAAGCAGAATCCCACATTCCCCAGTTAGAAACAAAACCCCCAGCCGCGGAAACACTCCCAGCCCAAAGCACACAGCCAGCCCAGTCCAGACATCACCCAAACTGAAGCCCAAGCTCCCTCCCACAGCAAGAAATACCTGGAGCGGCAGGACCGCACCCACACAAACAAAAACTAAAACCAGACCTACAATTGGTGCCGATACATTCGATAACCCAAACAAATCTCCGAAAGCTAAGCCGAAAGTCGGCCAAACAGAAGCTTTCAAGCGTAATTCCCCTTTAAGAGCAAGCAGCGCTACTCTACGTTCCCCACCGCATCAAAAGCAATTAAGCCCTTTATTGGAACAGATCTTAAGGTCGGCGGAGTCAGCGAAAGATGACGCCACCGTATTAGAAAAAATGAAAGAGATCATCAGAACATATTCCAAAGGTGATGACTCTTTATCAAGGACAAGCTCAAAAGACTCCGATTACGCTGACTTCACATCGGCTTGGGTGATGTCTGATGGTAAATTGGAGAGGTCTACCAGCACCAGGCAGTTAGCTGCCCCGAGGAAGGACCCTAGGACTGGAGCTTCGAGGATACCAGCGCCGGTGTCTATTGGCTGCAGGAGGTCAACGTCGACGTCGCAATTCCAATGACAGCTGTCGCTCGAAACCACGTCGAGTGACTCAAAGACTGAGCAAGTGTAAGTGTTTGTGACTGTGAATAATCAAACATTGGCGCAAACTTTTGGAATGATCGAGGATCCAAATATAGTGGACGGTTATTTCCAAACCTTCGATTATGATGGATTATATGTATTTATTAACAATAATCATATCTTCAGATAAATATTTAATATCTAAATTGTAGTGCTAATGTAGAATTTTACGCGATTTTCGCTATTTGATTCGAATATCAAAATCACTAGTGTACTAACAAACTGTACTAATGATTCATTTTAGTATAGACAATTTGTACTAATAATTGGTAAGTACATTGATGAGTAATCATTTTTAATTTAATCTTTTAAAGGAGACGAAAAGAGACGAACTATGATTGACATGACATTGTGTAAAGGAAGATGGTGCTAAAAGATCAAGTTAATTTGTTAAGTTATATTTATATTTAAGATATTTTTAATTTGAACTTATATAATTTAACAATAAAGTTCTGTTACAAATAAGTCGAATACAAATTGAATACATTTTTTCATATGTTTTTTATAATTGGATTTAGTTAAAAATGAGTTGAACTCGCACGAGATTTTTTTTTATTTGACGAAATTAAATATATTTACGATTTATGTAGATTAAGTTTTGTAGCGTAATATTTTAAGTTATTTAAGTTTCTATTGCTATCCCGGTCAAATCTAACATTTTTCCTACTAATATAAATTTCTGTTATTTTACAGCAAACAAAAATGAAAATTATTCTTTATAAGCCGGGAGTTTTGACAATTTTTTTCTATTTTTTTAAATCAGCAATCTCATTGTTATTTAGGTTGTGAAGGGCATAGAGCTTATATAAGAAAAAGATTGGCAAAATTGAATTAAACGAACTATTTCGATGTAATTTTCAATAGGATATTCTATAAAATAATTAAAAAATAACGTAATTTTAATCTTGTCCGTTGTAACGTAAATTTAAAGATAAGATACAATAATCGATATTACTTAATAAGTGTAAAAAATCAGTAAAAAAAAATATTTTTTCACTTCCAAAAAGAATTACCGTCCAGTTTAAAGGAAATCTAAAGAGCCGCTTCATTTGTTCTTATATATAATTTAACTGAATCGTTAAATTAACAAACGAAGCGACTCTATTCCTTTACTATCTATGGTCGATTTTGTATTTTGCCAGTTGTTTACAATTTTTCACGCAATTTTAATCTTTATATCTATGTGCATTAGATGTTATTTCACTGTATCCTAAAGCTACGGCGATCATGCTTGGCTCACTATAGGTGTCGAGTGACGTCATTATTGTATACTTGTCTCTTTCTTTTCTAAGAGAATGAAAGAGATGTCATCAATACTAGTGTAATTCAATTTGTCTACTGAGAATTTTTTTAATTATAATTAATTATAAAGCCAATCTTATAACGCTCTACCCTGAACTATTATTTATTTATTGTTTTTAATATTGTAGTAAAAGCAAGAAATAAGTAATAGTTTATTACGTTGATATTATGAATATTATCTAAGAAACGGATTAAAATTCTGTAGATAATATTTTAAAAATTCAACAATCTAATTTGCTATTTATTGTCGGCAAATATTACACTAAGATAATAAACCGGTTTAAACTGATTGATTTACTTTACTCAGAGACGCTAAATTATTACTAAAAAGACCCTTAGTGTGGAACTATATTTTTTTTCCACTAAGACTACTTAACCTTTAAATGGGACTCTTTCTCGTGAGTTATTTTTTGTTATTAGTGTAATATTTGTTGATAAACGCTAGAGGCTAAGTGGAACTTTTTGTAACAGTTTCTTCTAATAACGTTACCAGTGACTATGCCATAGAAATTGTTATGATTCACTCAATAAAACTTATAAGACAAATTCTTCTTTTATTTTACAACCTTTCTGTTACTGTAAAGCTTGTATGGTAGAGCAGTGCATACTGTGTCGATCTTCAACAGGGACAAGGGCAGGTTGAAAGGATAAAGTTTACGATAATTATATTAGACTAGCTTTCGCTCGCGTGAAACTAAAAAAATACAAAAGAAAGTAGCCTATGTGTTCTTCCAGAATATCCTCTACATCTATGCCAAATTTCATAGATATGTGTTCAGCAGTTTAGGCTACAAACTCTAACAAACATCCATCCATCTTAACTTTCGCATATATAATATTGTATTGTACCATAAAAACCAGGAGGTTAATGATGATATTTTTTTTAAATATTACAACAAAAACTAAAGATTTTGATTCATATTTAAACTATTTGTAAACATCGTTGTGGCATAATGGCAGCTACTTCTTGCGAACTATCAAAAAAAACGTTGTAGTTGAAATCTGTCAAATATTAGAAAATAAATAAAATAAACAACTTCTGGTGAAAAATTATTATGGATGTATGATCATTTGGAAGAATTATTTACAAGAAAGTGTAAGTTTAATGCATATAAATTTAATATTCTTCACAACATTAGAAATATATTTCTAAGCTTATAAAATTTTAACCTTTTTGTTTGAAGGAGTAATGATATAAGTCTTGTAAAAAAAAATAATTTTCTTTATAACAGTTTCAGGTTTGTAATGGATTTTGAAGCAGTTGCAGTGGGGTTATTCTTTTACATAATTTGCGTTGCATTGTGTTAGTATGCGTATTAATTCTTTCAATTATTAATCGTAGCTATTGTGTGCTAATCTACCTTGAAATACCAAAAACCAAGATAAATCATGCATAAATGGTTTGAGAAACTGAAAACTAATTTGTATCATGGGACAAGGAACTTTTTTAGCCTTGAATTTTAGTTTTGGGGGCAAATTAAAATCTTTTTTATGCCGCCCAACCTAAAGCCTACTCTACCTTACTTTAAATTCGAATAGCTATTGCCTTGCTACGGTTATGTGATATCTGAATTTGATGTCAATTTGTTCTTAAATTTCTTTATTTAATGATGACATTTTAATTTTGCAGTAATACTCGTTAACGAAATTTTTTGTAAAAGAGCTTGCTTGGACAAAGCTCGGCGAGTTGCTGACGGAGAGTACAACGAAAGTCTATCTAAAATACCTCCAAGAATAATGAAATACACTTGCATACCAATTACAAAACCACCGAAATGTTCTCCAGGAAGTAGAGAAATAAATTATACATTGGTTACTTAAATATAGCAACTTGACACTAGATGGCGTTAGTAATATTCGATATATCTTTAATTTTATGTTTTGTATGTAATATATTTTTGTTTAATTTCTTATTATTTAATTAAAATATCACTTATTAAATAAAACTCAATTGTTCTTATTATTTACTTATAATTATTTAAATCAAATTTTATTAAAGCGTTTTTATAAATACAATAATGTAATTATACTCAGACATTTTGTTGGTAACTTTTTGTTAAAACTTACTTCACTAAACTTATATTTAAATCACTTTTATCGCATATCTGCATGAATTGTAGAAACTCATGCCATTAAAATACACTTAAATGTAAATTTTTGATCACAGCTATAGTTATTCTTCTGGGAAAATCTTATTCATTGGAACTTTGTCGAATATTTTATTTGTAACATCCTGGAATACGGAACTGAGACTCTTCTCATAGGATTCCTTCAATTCATTGAAAACTAGATCTGAGTTTTGGTTGAGGAATCTGAAATGAAATTAGATTTGTAAAAGCGCCATCTAGCGGCCAGTAGAGCATATTCCTGTGATTGTATTACATATTTTAGCGCATAGATGGCGTAAATCAAAAATTACTCACTTGTTCATGTTGTCTCCTAAAGCCTTGTCACCGTTAAATAAATTAGAGAAATGCAAAATAACCCTCTCAGGAATAAATTTGACTTTGTAATCTTTTATGTGCATGTAGGTTTCGCCGTCTTTTATTATCGGTTCACCGATCAAATCATGTTTTACAACTAAATTAACTGAAACAACAAAGATAAAATTTAAAGTTTCTATAATTTGTAAAGAAATCCAATAATGTCACTCGAAAAGCGACCACAATAAAACAATTTTAAGAAATCTAATGTTGCTTGTTAATTGCAGATGGCGTTGAAAACAAACATTAATGTGAAAAATTTTTGTTTATAAATATTTGTTGCTTTTCGACAACAGATGGCGCTGACGACAATTAAATCTAGGTCCATTTTTCAGACTTGATAATTTCTACTATTCGTAAATAGAAATAGAAATTAATTGTTACTAGATTAAACTACGTACCCATGGTAATGTTGGCGACTCCTTTACCCTGGATTGGCAGAACCAATATTCTTCCTTTCATCACATAATCCGCGATGAAATCCATCTTAGGTGTTATTGAATCTGTTCTCAGTCTGTAGTGTTTGAGATCTGCCCTGAAAAAGTAATTTAAAAACATATCAGCGTTATAAATCGTAAAAATTTTGCTATGCGTTTTTGGACAGGCGCAACCAAACAAACATTTCACAGATGTTTTAAAACGACATTTAATTAATAATGGTTCCAGTAACTCTTTTTACTTATTTTTTTCTAACTTAACTAAGATTACCCAAAGCTGATAATATTGTAATAAGAACATTTTAGTCAAATATTTTACTTGTAAGATGTTAAACGGGAGTCTGTAAGTCCGTGAAGCTGTATGTTGCGGTAGACCTGGCTGATGACGACAGGCCCCGCGCCCGTCTCGATGTTCATAGCGGAGACCAGTAGCGGCTCCAGCGGCGGTACTGATAGCGCCGGAATGCCTGCCAATTTTTAATTACAACTTGCGTTCATAATTATTTGCTATAAAAATCCAGAAGGAGCCATTTTATTCCTTTTTAAATTATTAAAAGTATTTGCCAGTATTCTAGTCTTGAGGCTCAAATAAGAGGAAGGTTTTAGTTTTTCGGTATATATCTTACGTCCTTCCCATTATAACATCTAAGATTAATGACGACTAATTTTGATGACTATTACAGAGTTCGAAAAACTTATTGCTTTTTTTTAAATATGTTTTTTTCTAAATAAGTTCTTCTTTCTAGGTTTACTTGGTTTCACAGATCTCTATAAATAGGTAGCTACGAACCGTACTATTTTATGCCCATTTTAGCGGCGATAGTTCCGGTCGGAAGAATTAGAATTAAAAACTAGATAAAGACTGAACTGTCAAAATCGGTCATTACCAAGCAACCTATCCATTCTTAGAGATCCACGGTGGTTGGTTACCTTTAGTCATTCTGCGGAGCGCATCGGGCACGGCTCCCTTAAGGCAGTCATTCAGCTTGGCGTCCTTCTGGCGACATCTGGTGAAATCTTCCGCTGCAACATATGACACGTTACTACGCAACTGAACTCTCTGAGGCAACTGACGCGTGTTGCAACGTCACATTATGACGATATAATAGCCCGACTTACGTTGCGACATTGTTTTGGAGTTTATGGAAGCATTAAGCTTTCATCATGTCTACGAAATAGAGCTTACAGTCAAACAAGGATGTGTCGTCAATTGAGGCGCTACTATCGATTGGTTTTGGCAGATACCTTCAACATACATTGATATAGTAAACGGTATATAGATGGCGCTAGCGTCATAATTTTGTTTGTAAAAACCCTGGACTGAGGGCGCTTCAATCAATATCTCTATTAAGTTATTATCTTCGCGCGAAGAAATCAGTACCATATTTTTCCGCAAGATGACGAAGATATTAATATTTCCGGTCAGGCGAAGATACGAAGATATTAATATATATTTTTTTGATAATTACTCGTGCGCAGAAGCTTTGCCGATGGCTTTATGACGTCACGCGTACTGACGGTACTAAGCTGATAAGCGCGGGATGCAGTAAGTGTTAATGGGCGGGGGAGTCATCGGCAGACCTGACTAAAAGCGGCCGCATACCTTTTGAGCGATTGTCTTTTGTTTTGGAGTCAATTCAACTGTTTAGTTGTACAACTCGAGTAGTGTGCGGTCCTCCATGTAAGCTCAAAGGAATCAAAATCAGCCTAAACAGTTGTGCGATAGTTTATTCAAAGGTGTACGCGCGCTCTTATAATGCCAGATTTTAGCACTATGTAAAAGCCATTTGTAAAATAAACAAATAGTCAAGTCATATTTATAACAATTTGCTTTGTTCTTGTTTGTTTTAGTTATGCGATGCGTTTGCATTTACGTCTAAAATTGGCACAACAGTAGGACAATACTCTAAACAGAAAGGAAGGTCCCTATTGTACCATCTTCGTAACAAATCGTGTTAGAAATATTAACTTTGAATGAGTCATGTTTGTGTCGCCACGTGGATTTTAGAAGATGAAAATACTATTAAAATTCATTAATTTTAGTTCACACGTTAACCCACTAATCATATTAATATTATAAATGTGAAAGTTTGGATGGATGTTTGTTAGAGCTTGTAGCATAAGCGGCTGAACGGATCTGGATGAAATTTGGCATAGATGTAGAGGATAGTCTGGAAGAACATATAGGCTACTTTTTTTTTGTTTTTAATAATATGACGCTAACGGAGTCGCGGGCGGAAGCTTGTGATCAATAAAATCGATCTGTACATTTTTATGAGATTCCGCGTGGTCAGTCAACTTTTTTCTTAACAGTTTTAGATTTTTTTAGTAGAACAGATAAAAAAACTGTCCTTTGTGAATATATATGTTACCAACAACAATTCTCTTACACATATACAAAAGGGTGTGCGATTACTGCATTGCAACGGTATTGAAATTACAAAATATATTAACAACTCTGTTCGCTCATTACTCTGTGACGACCTTGTAACGGATTGTACCGACTGTACACTGTACAGTCAGCGACAATCTCGTAACAGTTGTAATCGTTACATTACAATTACGAAAGTTACTGTTGCACAGAACCGGCGATAATCATCATTAGAATAGTTCTTATCATCATTATTTCCTCAGTAAACTCTTTAAGATGTAAATTCCGTGTTTTTTTGTTTATCTGATCTCGATAGTCTTTGTAATTTTATTAGGAGTTTCAATGATAAAATTTTCGCTCACGCTGCGCTAGCGCTCTGCATCTGGCGTCTATGTACGCAAGCTTTAAGACTGATGGTAATTAGAGGTCAATGACCCCTTGTTTAGTTGTACATACTTCTTCGAGATCTTCTTGAGAGAGACTTCAGTGATCCTCGAACTTTCTTCACGGAAGCTAAGATCGAGCTTTTACCGTAACTAAATATATGATGTGAACTTGTGTGTTGTGTGTGCTTTAAACCGTTTTTTGACCGGCTTTCCAAAAAGGAGATACTCAATTTGTCTGTATGTTTTTTTTTAATATTTACTCGACATCTTGAATATACAAAGACTATGAAATAGTTTCAAAATTGGAAAAATGTATAGTGTAGACTAAATCATGTCTTTATATTTTCGTCTAAAATCATTATTACTAATTATTTGTAATGTTTTCATAGTTACAGCATAGATAAAGAAAATTTTACACTGCATATTTAACTATATATAACTTACTAATCTTATAAACTAAATAATGTTGTAAGTTTGCATGGTAGGATGGTTGTTTGTTAGAGTTTGCCGCCTAAATGACTGAATGGATATCGGAAAAGATGTAGAGCAGTCTGGAAGAACACATAGGCTACTAATATCAATTCTACAGGGACGGAGTAGCAGGTTAAATCTAATTTCTCGATAAACATAATTGTCATTGACCTATCCCAACACGATACGCTTTGAGAGAGTTTGTTAACGTAATATCGAAAGTAAGTTACGTAACTGCAGTGAAATTATACGCCAGATGAATGTTCATGCTGGTTTTAACTAGGATATTAAATAATACACTCTCAATACTAGTTTACTCTCAACGATTCTTACGCCGGCAGAGTCTGATGTATACAATGCAGATATTTTACTCATTTTTATCTAGCAAATGTAAATATAGTAACTCTAAATTCGATAGTTTCCAGTGCGACAACTAGCTAAAACTATTTAGTTTAAAAAAATCTATTTCATTCATATATCATATCCAAAAACATGACAACAAACATTTTTTTTTACTTCAAAAAACTCCGTCGAATTAAGTGTTAGCAATGGCCGACATGACATTAGTGACCTCTGGTGGATTATTATGACATTCATGTAGAATCAGTGTGAAGAGAGGAAGACCTTAGTGAAATTTACGATTTAATATAATATAACGATAGTTGTAGAGCCCGCTTTATTTTGGCACGAATGGGCCGGCTTGCTTCATGTAATACCACGATCACACGGAATACAGGCAGTGGAAGCTATTCCGTTTTCCTCTCCTCCCTCTCTATACTACTAGAAGGGCGGCAACGCAACTGCTTACTCATTTTTTTTTTAAGTTTTTAAGCTAGCGCTTGAACACGATCCTACTGACTGAGTGAAGATTTGGTCGAAACTTCATTCAGTCTCTTCTTGAAGGCCCCCACGTCATATCTAGACGGAAAAACTCATGTTTATAGGCCGCGGTCGCTACGCTATTTTGGTGAATTTCGATAGCCGCTCTTTTATCATTTTATAACCCACAATAGACTATATGAGATAATGAATACTTTATGATTTCCGTTATTAATTTCGATCGCATATTTTACACTCGCTAGTCGAACTTTAAAAACATTAATATTTACTATGTCAATGAATTAATTGATTTTACAATTATGTTTAATACAATATAAATTGAAATAATTAAGAAAAACATCGAAAAAAAATAGCTTTAGTACCGAAAATAAGATGAAATGACGCAACTGTCCCGTAATCAGAGTGGGCCGGCGTTGCCACACGTGCGAATCGACAAGGTCGACTTGCACAAACATTGCAGCGACCTCACGTGGCCGCAACGCAATGCTTCTGTGTGGATACGTCTTTATTATTTAAGGATGTTTAAATAAAGAGAACTAAGATTTCATCTATACTAATATTATAAAGAGGAAAGATTTGTATTGTTGTGTGTATTGAAATAACTCAAAAACTACCGGGACGATTTTAAAAATTGATTCACCGTTAGAAAGATAATTTATCTATGAGTAACATAGGCTATATATTTTATTTTCACGCAGGCGAAGTCACGAGCAACAACTAGTTAAATGTAACGCGACATTAACTATTTACCAGGGCGAATACTAGTGTATTTTTTTTATTTCCGCGCGTACAAGTTGTGGGCAAAAGCAGACATTTAGTATATCGTAAGATATATTTAGCTTGTTAGAACAATCGTCTATTCAAAGGTCTACAAACATTGCAATGGTATATCAAAGCCAGAACAAGTTCAGGCAAATGTTTTCGTAAATCGTTTCCTCATAGCCAGTGTGGAAAAGTTGAAAGCATCTATATCGCAATATAGTCATATAAACTTGCTCAAATTGTGTTAAATATTTCAGCATAGATCGACATAACATTTGCTGCTGTTTTTGCACGACTCGAGGGCAACATTTTGCGGGTATTTTGAACTTTGAAGGTCTCGATGAGAAATTGGATTTACGATTGGCACAAATCATTGTTTTATTTTTAATCGAAGTTAGTTATGAATGCACACCGGTAGAGGTAGGCATAGAAAGAGATGGATGGATTGCGTGAAAGATGACATGATCAAGAAGGGAGTGATGACTGAGATGATGGATGACAGAGTTATTTGGAGGACGAGGGAGTAGGATAAGTTGGGGGAGATGATGATTAGATTAGAACACAAAGATGCTTATTATTTTTTTAACATTAGCAGATTTTTGATAATCTTCTTTTACCATTTCAACCAAGCTCTAAACTTGTGCTAGGGTATGGTTTACGACAAAACTGTCGATCATATAATCGGAAATTTGTACGCCTATCCATTAGGCTATTGGAGACTATAAGTCGAAACTTCGAGTACATAATACAATGCTATTGTTAATATTTGTGACATATCGTTGTATGGAAAACTACAAGTGACTTTATGTTTTGTTGCAAGGCCATTCTGAAGCAACACGAGCATTCTAAAGGAGTCAATTCATAATACAAGTTACAATGTTAAGAAATTTGACCGGTTTATTGTAAAGCCGTTTAAAGATGTTGAAAAGACGATGTGACAATATCATGTATAAGCCTTCTTTATTTACGTACGTAATTATAAAAAAGGTAATAAAACGTTTAACATAAAAAATTATTAATAAAATTCATAAAATTAGTGTAATAAATCTTACTGATATCAGAAATGCGAATGTTTAGATGGATGTTTGTTACAATTTGCCGCTCTAAAGGGATGGATCTCGATTAAATTTGACATAGACACAGAGCACAGTCTGGAAGAACACATAAGCTAACTTTTGTTTTATTCACGCGGACGGGGTCGCGGTCGAAAGCCATACATGTTTTCATATCAAAAAAACTACCAAAGGGATTTCTTTAAACTTTATCCAAATGTAACATGTAAAAATATTTTTTTATAACTTAATAACTGTTGCTCGCGACTTCGCCCGCATACAATAAAAAACATAGCCTATATTATCAATAATAACGTAGTTTTTTAACGGTGAAAGGATTTTTCGAAAATAGCCACAGTAGTTTTTCGAGTTATTTCAATACACCCAACAATACAAAATACAAATCTTTCCTTTTTGATCAACTTCCCAAAAAAAGGAGGTACTCAATTCGTCTGTATATATATTTTTTATAATATTGGTACCTATATACATAGATGACTGGTTTCTAAGAATTTTCGTGTCAACATAAATTGCTCATAGTAAAGACTTCAACGACATCAACGACTTTGAACATTTTTCCTTATTTAAAAAAAATTACCATAAAATTTTCGTAACAGTGATATAACCACATAACCACTATAATAACTGTTGTTTTAATGTAAGTAAAAGCTAATTAAATCGTGTGCTAAAGCGTCATATTTTTAATTAATTTAACGCAATTACTCGCGAAATTACAATTTTTTAATAAAATTGTTATTAACGTTTCCAAATTCATTTAAACATTGATTATTTATATTTGTTTTAAATGAAAATATCACAAATTATGAAAATATATCTAGTTCAGAACAAATAAACTTGAATATCTATTTATCAGTTTCAATATTATAAAGAGGAAAGATTTGTTTTTTGTATGTAACGGATAAACTCAAAAACTACTTGAAAATTCTTTTAAAAACTATATTACTACTGAATAACATAGTCTATATTTATTACTTGAATTTTCTTCTAATTATGTGCAGACGTCGATTACCTAGTCTATATCTATGCTAATATTATAAGGAAGAAATCTTCGTATTTTTGTTTGTATTGAATTCAAAAACTACTGGACCTATTTTGAAAATTCCTTAACCATTAGAAAGTTACATTATCAGTGAGTAACATAGGCTACATTTTTTAATTTGACGCGAACGTTAGACGAAGACACGGAAGTCGCCGACAACAACTAGTCGAATATAATCAACTTGTTCTTGTATTAAAAGGAGTAACAGTGGTAGAGCCCGCTTTAACATCTCGCACGAATGGGCGGGCTCGCCCGGTGTAATACCACGACCACACAGAAGACAGGCGTGAAGTGGAAGTAATTCCGCGTTTCGTTTCATGAGTGTGGTGCCAGAGGCCTAATTTAAGTCCCTTTCCCTTTACCACCCCTTTCTTATAAGGAGGGGATGGGAAGAGGAAGTGGATTTGACGGTGGAGGAGATGCATAGGAAGGGGTAATATCCTCTTTATGGGCGTCTATTCCTCCGTCAATGAAGGGTAGGCAACGCATCTGCAATTGCGAATGTTTATGGGCAGCGGTCGCTTTCCATTTCGGTGGATTCAGGTGGCCGCTTGCTCGTTTGCCACCATATATTAAAACAAAAAAAAGTTTTTTTTTTCTAGTGCTCCTCCAACATAAATAGGTCAGAGTCCTAGTTTGCTTTCAAGTTTTTCCTATTGATTCAAATTATTTCTTGTTTGTTTTAAATGTTACTGCCTCTTTAATTTCTTCTACTTTATTTTACACTTCTTTTAATCCTTGGTAATTGTGCTAGTTTCTTTTAAAATTAACTACAGTTATAAAAGGAGTATTAACTATAAACATTCTTATCACGTCTATAAAAGCGGAAGCTTTTTCCATCGTTTTCCAATACCGTAGTAGTCGATTATATATTTATTTGTCATTTGCAAGTCATTCTCTTTGTGTTTTATTGTAATGAGGATTCATCTTTCTGTAGACGGAGAGATCACGTATTGAATACTAATAGTCATTTTATGTGTCACTGGCTTGGCTTCTATGCCCTTGGTTAAATAATAAAGCTTAGTTAATTTACAGTCAATCTCCTTATGTTCAGACCCAAAAATCGTGTGCAAAATGTACATATCTATTCTTATATACTAATATTATAAAGAGGAACGATTTGTAATATTGCATGTATTGAAGTAACTCAAAAAAGGCACGTTCGCAAACTTTTAAAAAACTTTTTTCACAAATAAAAAACTACGTTAGCAGTGATTAACATAAGCTACACTTTTTTAATTTTTGCGGACGATGTCGCGACCAACAGCTTGTCGAAAAACATACAGACGTATTGAGTACCTCCTTCTTTTGGGAAGTCGGTCAATAATAAACACATACTAATATTTAAAATGTGTAAGTTTGGATGGATGGATGGATGATGGATGGATGTTACTATATATTACCAAAACAGCTTGAAAGATCACAATGAAACTTACCAGAGATGTAGAACATATTCTCACACAAGTTACTAGGTTTTTTTTTTTATTTGAACAGAGGTGGCGAGCAAAAGTGCTACATGTACAACAATTGGACGGAAAGAATTTTAAATCTTTGAAAACATTAAATTGAATATTTATAAACTTCTTTGCAAGTTGGACCACATTTAATTGACCATATTCGCTGTAGCCATCTGTTGAAGGTCAAGTAAGTAGTATGACCATTGAATTTTAAAGACAATGCACCGATTTACATTCCACGATGCGTCCACCTTAAGGACGTGGCTCTCTTCAATCGATTTAATGTTCTATAATGTGACCTTTGGACTCTGCGGGTGGTATAATGGGATGTTTGTCCATGATACAAGTTCAAATACTACCATTAAACTAATGGCCTAGTGTTAGGATTATCGATGAATATAAATATCACTAGAGTATACTGTTATGGCGCTGCGCACTGAACAGAACAAAATTTTTTAAGGAACAAAATTAGTTAAATTTTACAAATTCCACTCTTCATTTAATTTTGATAAATCAAATTCAAGCTTAATTTGTAACTGGTGACATAACAGAGAACGCATGTTTAATTCTTCTGTTAAATATAATAATATTGTTTATCAATAAAACACTTTAAAAATTACACGCCTTTTGAGAGACAAAACGAATAATTTCAAATCACACTATCAACGCAGCAACCAATTTTACTTTATTATCTTAGTAATATTATAAAAGTAAACGATTATCTGGATAGATGTTTATTAGTAGATATATCCAGAAGACATACAAGAATATAATCTGGCACATAAAGGCTACTAATAAGTTTTGTGATGCCGCGCGGACAGTCGTGGAAAATTAGTAAGGAACTAAATTTTTATTTTTTATTTTTTTCTTACCGGCCAGTATGTCAGCCAGTTATATTTTATAAACATGCAACCTCCGTGGTGTTCTCAAGTACATTTGAGTTTGCCTATTCCAATCTCGCGCAATCCTACTGAATAATTCCCAACTTACACTGAGTACGGTAACATTACGATCGCTTGTTACGTCTTCAGTCATGTAATAGTATTGCCTAGGTGTTTTAAATTCTAATTGCGTAATAAAATAGAATCAAAAATAGCGCCGTGAAAGGCTACACTATTGGTCTGCTGAACATAAAGTTTGAAATTAGAAATTAAAATAATTAACAAACAAACCATAGACATTTTTATTAGATTAATTAGAATAAAGTTACATAGAAAGTTTAAGTAATGAAATGTCCGTCGCGTATGCCGGTTAAATGTTTAGAATGAAAAATCAATTTAAAAAAAAGAACCATTAAAACATTTTAAAAGACAATTTAAAAAACATACAAACTTGTCGTAACATTCAATTAATATTACCATAAACAAATTGGAATTAGGTTAGTTTTTGTGACTTAAATAGAAAAATAAACTATTTAAAAATGTAATACTGTAGATTGTAGTAAACGGGTGTTAATTAATAAAATAAATATTCATGTATAATCATGAAAAACAATTCTTACGATAAACTAAAAAGTTTACAAACATAAAAACGAATCGTAATTATTTAACTGTACCTACAAGTTTTGTAAGAAATATAAAAACTCGTTAATGTTTAAAATTTAAACCTCAAGATTAAAATGAAAAAGAAAACAAAAATTGCTTACGTAATAAGTTTTCTCCTATCGCCAATGTTGTTAGCGAAGCGAATATAATAATTGAATTCTTCATTTTTATATTTTTATGTCACGAATAAACTAACACACCGATTACGTTCGGAAACAACAGCGAAAGTGACAGTTCAGACGCAATGGCGGCGTAAGACTGAATTCGCGCGCGTTTTTCCCTCCTATTTATTTACTTTGGATTGCAGAAACATAACATACAGGCTCGTTCTTGTGACAGATGCGTTGATGACACTACATTTTTAGTATAGGAAAATTTATTTAATTAAATCTGTATCCGATCTTTTAAATTGTATTAAAATTTGAGTGTCTGTAATTAATATTGAAAAAAGATGTAATACTTGAACATGATGTATTTTCCTAGTCGACAACAAAGGTAAACATTAATCATTTTGTCGGTCTGTCTACAAAACCTAGTTTGTTGCGGGTAATCTTCGAATCGGTTTGACCTAAACCATTTTCACGAGATATAGCCAATATTATAAACTTGTTTGAATATTGTAAACTTTTATGGATACATTGAGAACGGTTAGAAAAAGATATCGACAAATATTTGCTTGCATCAATTATCAAACCGGGAAATAATATTTCTTAAACCGAACATAATAAATGAGCCATCCTGTTTTGACCTTGACTTATAACACATAACTTTACTAAACAATTCTCAATAACCAAAAAGAGTTAGAAAAATATTTTTCCTACAAACAAACAAAAAATACAAACTTGTTATTGTGTAAAGTATACTTTTTTATGTCGCGTTTACTTTTTTAACGAAAACGTTTTATGCCAGTGTCAAAGTTTAATTCTTAGAAACGTTTTTTTTTTTTTAATTCCATGGTACTATTATGAGCATATTGACAGAGAGCATACAAATGGTTTATAACTAGGTTTAGAATTACGCAAATACGAACATCAGACATTCAAAGAAATATGACCGTGGGTTTATATGGGCAAAATGGTCAAACAAAAACATTATTGTTATACATAAAGCATTTATGAGAGTTTATTTCAATTATACCAACCCAAGGTTAAGTTTCTTAAAATGAGATAAGGCTGGAAGCATGTGCGTCGGCAGGCGGGGGTAGGATGTGTAACTGCCACCTACCTCCCCTCTCTAAAGACTCCAAAATTATGCAATAAATATAAACACTGCTGTAAGACCATTTTGTTGATATTTGCACCTAGACTTAGCCTAAAACACTGGCTGGCAACACCCATGATTACTCTAACACTAATTATAAGAAAGTAGAACAAATATTGTTATAAAGAAATTAATTAGGCAATTAATAAGAACTCAATTTATTGGCAAAATCTTAATTATAAGAACAATGATAATAAATTAAAAGTAAATAAAAGATTTCTCTTTTTATCTTTTTTTTAAATTAAATAACAATAACATCTTCACTATCTACACAATCATATTTATAAGTTTCAACATTTTCAAATTCCCTATAACCTTTTTGATATCTTAAGGCAAAAGAATTACTTGGTTGAGTACTATTGAACATTGAATCTCCATCTTTATTTAATTTTATAAGACCAAAGTACAAAACATCCGGATTTGTATTTAGAAGTTCATTCCTCCTTTCTTTTATTATAAGTGGTTCTTTTACTGGCAACATTAAAAGCATATCTTGTACTTTTTCATTTAGTTTTACTTTAGCTTGTATTGTGCCGTTCAGGGACTGTGATAATCTTTTCCCATCGAATGGTAGCTTACATTCAATACATCTAATGTTTTTTTGATGATCAGTGTTCAATGGTACCGGAAATAACCGTTCATTCAAATAGAATCGGTACAAACATTTATGTTCACCTAAACTAGTTGTACTGGCTTTTGTTTTAATTCTAGATTTTGCAGAATGACATTCAAAGTAATTCTTTCGTCGGAATTCATTTATTTCTTTGATGTTATTTTGTTTATCTAAATTGTAATAACCCATTTCTTCAGGTATGGTTTCCGGATGTATTTGATATAAAAACTCCTGTGATGACTTTGGTTTAGTCAATGTAACTTCAGAAGTCTCTTTTATAGTACTTAATGAGGGTTTTGTTATGTTTTTACTAGTCCCATGTACTGATTCTGTGGATAGAGCAAAATTCTCATTTTTATAGTACTGTTCCACAATTTTATAGTTTATATTAGGCATATTTCTAGATGTCTGTTTGGTTAAGTTTTGTAAGGGAATGTGAGTAGTAATATGGTTGCTTGTTGTTGCAGTAATATCATCCTTATGGTTTTTATTTATCTTATTGTTTGGTTTCTCAATAACTTCATCTCCACATTTCTTACAAATATCTGGTCTAGATTTAATTTTCGGTATATCTTTGTTAAAGGTTTGATCTGATTTTGTAGTTTTTCTCGGCCTCGACAAAGGTTTATCGGGGTGGTTTAGTATACCAGTAGAACAACTTTTCTTGTCACTTGTATGTTCGTGATGAATAATGGTCTGTGATGGAACAACCTTCCTCAAGGTTTTAGGCTTAAACAAAAACGGACTTCGCCTTACACATTGAGACAAATTGTACGGATTATCAAAAGGTCTGTTGAAACTCGATATATTGTTCATTTTCTACAAAATAAACAAATGTCACGCGTCTCTCCAATAAAACTGTCAATGTCAAAGTTGTTATCTGCGTAACCATGACAACAAAAATAAAACAGCCAGATAAAACAGTGCTTTAAAATTAAAAATAAAACTGGTTAGTAGATTTTGTAAATTACAGAATAAAACTTTTTCAATTTGTTTCACTTCCTAAAAATATCTGGATAATATTTTAGTGCCATCTAAGTAGGATAACTAAAACTATAAGTTTGATTTGAATACTAAGTATAGATGGCGTTGTACTAAAACATCGAATTTTTTTAACAAAGTTTTTTTATGCTAACTTAAACATTACATTATAATGTCTTAAAGCCGATTTTGTAAAAAAATTAATCAATTTCGTACAATAACTTATTGTCTGCGTAAGAAAGCGGTATTCCCACTTTCTTTTAGTGACATTTAATAAGGATACGTGACCTTACCTGCTTACCTTACCTACAAATTAAGTAATCGTTTATCGTACATTTGCCATGTCCTTTCTCTCGAAAGCGATGCTTGAGTGAGAATTTTTCATTAGAAGTTCTGAAAAAGTTGGGATATCAATTGTTTTTTTTTTTATTCAGATGGATTAAAAAGTGCTCACACTACACTGGCAATTTTGTGACTGATTTGTCACTGTTTGCCTTGAAGAGGCATTTACAGATTCACCGGGCTTGACTACACTGGCAATGAATGTTTTAATCCAAGCGATATTTTTGAATTTTAAAACATTCAAAACAATGTTAATATTTTTTATAATTCAGTAATTCATTTCTCGTCCAAATAGGGTTGGCAATTAAGGCTTGTAAAAACTAGTGGGCCAACCCCAATGAATTTAATAAGGCGATGAAGATGACTTAATCATACTAATATTATAAATGCGTTTTAGATTGTTTTTACAACGCTAACTTATAAAAACTGGAACAACACATCGGTTTATTAGGTATTATGTAATTTAGAGAATTACATTCTAAGTGTACATTTTGTGCCTATTTGTCTTAAAAGTATGAAAATAGTATAATCTAAACAGCAATTTTCTTGGTTTTCCTAAGGATTAAGGCATTAGTGTAACTTACGAGCTTACTTACAATTTGGCAACATTTGTAGTTGCTGTAAAACTTTTTTCATTTGCGAACAGGCCGACCTCTATCTTTAAGTTTTCCTCTGAGAGTTATTTCGGCTTTGTACTAATGCTATTTGCGGTGTAATAACAGTTTTGTTCAGAAACTTCAGTAACAATAATTCTTTGGCAAACGATAGCTCGGTAGGGTTGCCAATTATCATCTATTGTTTTAAAACTGTAAACAATTTGATATCATACATTTTGATTGAATTAGAAATGACTCAAATGATTAAAAAGGTCAAAGTTATAAACTGATATGAACATAATAAAGCTTCGATAATTTTGTATTTCCTTCAAAAGAAGAAGAGAAGCGAGAAGAAGAAGCAAAAACGCTTCGTTTTAGATTTCAACTTCAGTTAATTTATTGCACAACATAAGCGAAATTACAATAATGGTTAGTTAAACTAAAAATTATATTGTACTAGCTGTCGTTCGCGACTCCGTCCGCGTAGAATTTTAAAGAAAAAACAACACTAAGACCTATGTGTTCTTCCAAACCTAGTTCTATATTCATGCTAAATTTCATCCAGATTCATATAAACTCTCGCATTTATAATATTAGTATGCTGTAATTATAATATCAATGAATGAGCTGACTGCACTTAATTGATTAACCGATCACGAAGGGATGCGCACGCGCTGAGGTCGCATTTGTAAGGTGACCACACATTTTAAATTTCTTAACAACTCTAACAGTATTTTAAATATATTTTTACGAATATGTTGAATAAATATACAATGTACCACATATGACAGTTTTATGTCTGGTTTAATAATTAATGTTATAGTTAAAAAATCAATCACTTTCACTATTTATTCAAACCAGAATCATATTTCGTTTTACTATATTTTTTCTGATACCACCCTATTAGTACCTCAATACTAAAGTAATATTTTCTACAGTAATATTTAAAATGAAGGATAGCTATAATAGTTAAATGTGACAAAGGAAATTAAATAACTAACAAAATAGTCTATAGAAAGTTCTAAAACCAGTTCCCTGCGATCATTGATAGAAAGTGACGGATTTGATAACGTTATAACTTTTAAATATATTTAAATAAACTTTAATGTCCATTAGTATTTTGTCGTCTGTGAAATTTAAGATAATTAGTTTTTAAAAACAAATGTAATATAGATATTTTATAAGTTTAACGTATTATATTTTATATAATCTTGATTATTTATTTGTTTTAAGCTGTTTTGAAGATTTTATAACCTTAAAATTAGCATAACATGCATAAATATATTTTTATTTGACTCTTATTATTAACATTTAGACGCTTGTTAGTTTAATTTATTCATTCAAGAATGAAAAACAAAAGAGAAGATATTTTTGAGATTTCATCCAATCAGACATTGATATAGTTTTCGCCAATATTTTGTTGTAGTAACTTTTCATATGAGTTTTATGTTTATTATCAATAACCTTTTAGGATCGTATTTTTTAATCTATAGCACTTAAATATATCAATAAAATAAGGTTTAATAAACAGGAGCAGTTCACTAAATTTGATTTTTGTAAATTATATTCACTCTATGAAAATGTTTATCCGAATGTCCTTGTTCATAAGGGCCACCCTACATCTACGATCAGTAGGATGCTCGTGCGCACACCACTTGTGATCAGATGTGCGCGAGTGTCACCCGCTTGTACAGACTTTGGCGTTTCAAGAGGAACAAAAAGCGATTCGCCGTTATTAAACGTTTATTTCGAAAATGAGATTCATCGCTGTCATCGCTTTCGGTTTACTGGTGAGAGTACTTAATTTTTGATTTTTTATGTTTTCATGTTACCGCTTTAAGTAAAGAAAATTATTATAAGTATTATAAACTAGCTTTACGAGAATTAAAAAAAAAGAAAAGTAAGTAGCCTTTGTGTTCTTCCAAACTACATCTATGGCAAATTTAATCGAGATCCGTTCAGCCGTTTAGGCTACAAACTCTAACAAACATCCATCCATCCAAATTTTCGCATTTATAATATTAGTTGCGAAAGTTTAGATGGATGTTTTGATGTTTGCCGTTTAAACTGCTGAAAGGATGTCGATGTTTGGCTTAGATGTAGAGGATAGTTCGAACGAACACATAGGCTACTTTTTTTAATTTCATAAGTACGGAGTCGCGAACAATAGCTTGTTATAAGATGCTATAGCTAATATATCGGTACAATATTACGTATCTTAGGTGAAGGAGAAAGAGCGGGACAGTCTTTGTTATTATACTAGTGTTTCTGGTTCCGTCTAAAAGTTTAATCCAATAATACTGTTGTTATGTATTTGTTTCGAACATCCATATACATATAAAATCTTGCGGTAAAGAGTAATTAACATATCATTGTGATAAGGGAGTCTTTGAAATTGTTTAATTAGGAGTTAATAAAATTAACTTCCTATATTTGGATCATCATCAGCATTATCATCTCCTTATCCTACTCCCGTACGGTCGGCGCTACAGGTTTTTGTCCTCCTCATAACTCTATCATACGTCATCTCAGTCATCACTCCCTTTTTGATCATGTCACCTTTTACACAATCCATCCATCTCTTTCTAGGTCTACCTCTACCGATATACCCTTCCACACTCATATCTAACGTTCTCTTTGTAACATGCGAATTATCCCTCCTCATAACATGCCCATACCATGCCAACCTTTTACTCCTTACCTTCTCTACTACGGGGGCTACTCTCAAACTTCCTCTAATATACTCATTTCGTATCTTATACATTCGTGTTACCCCACACATCCATCTTAACATTCGCATTTCTGTCACATGTAGTCTCCTTTCATCCGTTCCTTTTACTGCCCAACATTCAGATCCATACATCATGACAGGTCTTACGACGGCCTTGTAAATTTTTCCTTTTAGTTTAAGTGGAATTTGAGGGTCGCGTATTACTCCAGTGATCTGTTTTTGGATAATATCTAAGCAAATTAATTCAATATTAAAATAAGGGTTATAATACTTCAACAAGTAATAATTTTCAGAATCTGATCTGTACGAGGTTCGGTGCTTGAGGGTTTCTATATAATCTGACGTACTGTTTGCTTAAATGCTCGCCTTGTAACATGTTACCTTACACTGTGTAACATCGGTCACCTTAACAGTTCAATGACATTACATAGGTTCTCGGCCTTAAGGCCTGTCCCACCAAATTGTAAATCGTATGATAACAATGGACATGTAAAATATGTGATAGAAATATCGGATTTTGCTCCCTTATCTGTAACTATCTTTCGCCCGCGACTCCGTTTGCGTGTAATTAAAAAAATAAAAGTGAGTTGCCTATGTGTTCTTCCAGACTATCCTCTACATCTATACCAAATTTCATCGAAATCTGTTCAGCCGTTTAAGCTACAAACTCTAACAAACATCCATCTATCCATCCATCCATCCATCTTAACTTTCGCATTTATAATATTAGTATGATTTTCTATCACCCAATGTTGGAACACACACATAAAGCAACACGTTGTCATTCTGCTTGTGGTCATTGTTTTTTTTTAAATAAGTGATAACCAAAAATATAGGCCTCAGCTGATTAAATATTAAGGAAATTTCTTATCTTTTGTGTGCCATGATTTTTTACCGACTTCCCAAAAGAAGGAGGTATTCAATTCGTCGGTATATTTATTTTTTTTTTTTATATTTTTTTTTTGTAAAAATGCATGAATTAATAGGCAAATAATAGGTGGAGGCTAACTCAGTTCCTTAGTATGTGAACTAGTATTTGAGCAATTAACGCAATATATTTAAGTGCATTCTTTGCCGTAAAAATAACATTGTTCTTAAGTAAGAATTTTGTTCGATAACGGAGGCATGATTTTTAAATCGCACTTTTATATTTGAAACAACTTTAAAATCATGCAAATGTACAAAAAAGAAACTGCTTGTTTCTATTTTTAATAGTAGAAGAAATAAAGTACATCTATTGCTGTGTTGATGTTTTAAAAACATTACTTACTTTGTAAATAGCTTGAAGAAATGTAATAAAAGGGCAAAATAAGGAATTTAAAGGTTATTTTATGCGTAAAAAAACTTTCTCCAACGTGCCGCAGTGACAAATGTAGTTTTTTCTAGTTCCCTACAGTTACTTTAATAGTTCAAGTATAATATAACTCGTTACCTAACTGCCAGTTAGACTGTTTTACTTAGATGATGCTTATAATGGATTTAAAATAACGATGAATACTTAAAACATAAAGAAAGAGATACAGGATAAACTAATTTGCATGAAATACTCTTTTACGAAACATATTTTTTTATTATAAGGTGGCAAACGAACAAGCGGCCACCAGAATCCGCCAAAATGGTAAAGCGACTGCTGCCCATAGATATCCGCAAAAGCATCTGCTTTCTTGCATGCTGCTTCAGATGCGTTACCTACCCTTGATCTACGGAGGAGGTGACGCATACAAAGAGGATATTTCCCCTTCCTTTGCGTTTCCTCCGCCGTCAAATCTACTTTTCCTTTCCATCGTTTCTTCTTAAGAAAACGGTGGGAAGGGAAAGTGACAAAAATTAGGCCTCCGGCACCACACTCATCAGACGAAATACGGTATTGCTACCATTTCACGCCTGTCTTCTGTGTGGTCGTGGTATTACACCGGCCGAGCCGGCTCATTCGTGCGAAGATGTTAAAGCGGGCTCTACCACTGTAAAATTAGTATAAAATTTAGCATCGATATTCAGTCAAATGATTGTTTACAACCTATTATAATATAACTTCTTTGGTAGACGTAAACATTTCGAAATCTGATGTAACTCTACAATATTATTTTACTTTTGAAATATCAATCAAAACATAACATTTCCAATCGATTCATAGACAAAACGTTTTCATCCAATTGTATTTGGTACATTAAATCATAGACAATCATAAACAAACAATAATAATGGCTCAATAAAAAAAGATATTCCATTGACGATGGTTGTTGGCTTATATAGGTCGGGGTACGTGATTCGAATCTTTAGATATGTGGCATTGGCGCCAAGGACCTAGGTCGGTTAGGTTTGTTTATTTGGGTTACGATTTTGATTTATTTGATATCACTTCGAAAGGTGTTTCTGTCGTAGAAATATTACATACATATGCTTTCTCGGAGAAGTATGATGCTTCGTAAGTTAGCACAAAAATGTGTTGTCTCTAGATTTTTCAACGAATGTGAAAGGGATGGAGATGATGTTTTTCTGCATGTCTTTCGGCACTGGATATCATAGAGGAACGACAGATCAGAAGGTCACAATAGGCATCGAAAGCAGTTTCCAAAGATTAAACAATCAATGTGTATATTCCCTTCTATAAAAGTCACTAGGCTCAATTTCAATTTGTCACTCCTATCGGCTGTTTAATGCGACGATGTTGGATTTCTTTGACTCATGGATCGAACAATCTTAATCCTTGACGTCAATGTTAGACATACTGTATCCCTATCACGTATCTTTCAGTAGCATTCGGTGTAAACAACCTATTGAATAACTTATACCACTACGTGTGTATAGAATTTCTTATAGTCATACTCATCTCTTGATACTTTCTTTGGTACAGGATAATGTAGTTAAATTGTTAAATAAATAAACATCAAGATTATCCCAACATAAGTGTCTTGAGTCTATTTTTATGAATCTAAAGACGATATTGTTAAGTACTTTTATCAATAAAGCCAAGATTGAAGTTAGTAATTTCCACAAGCACTAGCGGGCACAATTTGTATGGATTCCTTTCCTATTTACACTGACTCGCAACTGCTTTGATACACAATTCTAGCTGCATGTCTTACGTAGTTATTGTCGTTTTATCGCGCGACTAACCGCCTAATGGAAATAAGGACTTAGTAATATTCCGTCATTGGCGATAGATGTATTACTAGCATTTTAAATACTTCCTTATATTTTAGTTCATATGTTCGTTTTTGAAAAATTGCTCGTAATTTTTTACAGGCGTCACAACAAAGCAGCAGCAGAACTCTGCCAGATGATGATTCAGTGGTGAGCGTGTACGCAAAAGATGCTACAAAAGACAACAGCAAGCCTTCATTAGCGTATTTGCTAGCCAGCGGTCTCGCCAGCAGAATCGCTTCTCCGTTTTCTAAGTGAGTGTAACTAACAAATCATAAAAGTAATCTAGTTTGACGGTCTTTTACTGGGTATTTCATTGAGACAGTTTGTTGTCAACGGCTACTAAAAAGTGTAGTATCATTCCATTGTTAATTCTGCTTTTTTCATTACCAGTTTATTGAACTTCGGCAAGAATGTAACCACAACGATGCGACCGTTTCATAGAATCGAACTCTACGATGATACGGAACATGCTGCAAAATCTGATGTCATACCGCTGAAGAATGAAATATCAAATGACAGGGACGTAGAAGAACTCTCAGACGACAGTATTTATAAAAAGACTGGTAAGAAACCAGAGAAAATAGTGTTGTTCTCGAACTTTCTGCCGATGAAAGAGAAATTGGAATTAAATGGTACGGTGAACGAAGTAGATGTTGATAATGAATTTGATGATTTAGAGTTTAGTGATGAAGACGACATAGATGAGGTTATGAGATCGAATGATGGTGGCATTGTTTATGTATTAGAAGTAATAGGTAGTATAATACAATTGCTTTGGGGCGGATTCTTGGCGTTATTCCATCCTTCATCGTCTTAGTTTATTGAACTGTATAGCTTTGGTTTATGATTTAACTCTATTGTAGATATACATAAATATGTTATTTATTCTTTGGAGGTCGAATAGATCTCAGTACATTTTGGCTTATCTGAGATATCTTCGAATCCATTTTTTTTAATTGTACCGATCTAAGATCGTAATAGCGATCTAAAAATGTAAAAGAGGACAATTTTTAAATCTTTCTTTATTTAGAAAATTGTAATTGTAAAAGGAGTTTTAATAAAAAATACGATACTTATTGGCATCAAGATTTTAATGTACAGAATAATATCGATATCAGTTGGAAATAAAGTTAAATACAGCGACTAAAAAAATATTTTTAGATAACTTTGTTTTAATTTTGTAACTTATTTTTGTCTTTTTCTATTTGTCTACCACCGTATATACTTCTTTACAGAGCTTATTGTTTACCGAAATAGTTGAGCAGTATTTGTTTTAGAATAAAATCGAAACAACCCTCATGCAATGTACACGCTCGGGAGTACAATTTGATCAGACAATGTGAATAAGCTATTCAGTTTCTGAACACATGTGAGATGTGATAAATTTGTCCCTCGTCTCGATCATGTGTTTTTTACATTGAGTGGAACCTCTTCTTTGACCTTTCAAATGTTTTGTATCGAAAAACATAATTGAGGTGTACATAATCCTTGTAACAAAGAAGTATTAACTGTGGAAATATAAATATCCGGTGTCCAAATAGTGTGACTATGTAAATATATGTTTTTAAAATGATTTTTCACTTCATGATTAGCAATATATCTTTGTAAATATAATGTATTTAAAGTTCGTTTTTCGTTTTATTTCGTTCTTACTTTAATACACTATTATAACGAAACATGCAGTGGAGGAATCTAAATGGAAACAGTTAAAATAAACAGACGCCTTCCGTTTGTTTAAAGCAATGTGTATGCTTTGTGAAAATTTGTTACTAAAACCACAGGCGCTTGTGTAATCAAAACTAGCACGAAACTCAATCATGTCATAGTTTTAATTATATATCTTCAGTTTACATGAAGGGATTACATACGAAAATATAAAAATAAAATTAACTATTTCTTTCACAGTTAATGTTAAGAACTGCTAAGTAGACTTGTGGCAGCATAGTAATGGGGTCACGCATAACATCGCAATGGAACAAAAACTTTGCTTATAACATGCCAGCAAAAAGCTAGGCACATTTAGGCGTTCCACAGGGAAAGATTTATAGCCGAGACGTCTAGGCTACTTAGTATTTGGCATAATTTCAGTGTTGTTTGTCGCGTATACTATGAAATTCTAACCTGTAAGTGAACCATTTAGCATATTTTGGAACGACATACAAGCTAGCGTATTTGCGAGAAAGTATTGGTAACATCATTGACAAAATTTGTATAAGATTTGTCGTTGTATTTTAAGCCCGATAGAGGCGCTGCATGAATCTAATACAAATGTCGAAGATACGAATACTTTCTGAAAAATTTTCGTGCCAGGTCCTCAATTCTAATCATAGTTAAGGACAAGGCGACACTACATACCATATAGTCAAAAAAATCCTCTACATATTGGCAACACTGAAGATATTTCCAATTCTCGTGAACCATATTACCATACGAATACAGTAACATAAAGTTTCATTGTATATGTTATTGTTAAAGCAGTTGTGGGAATACAGAATAAAATAAACAATTCCCGTGACTCCGGCACTCTATGGTAGGAGGGCTCCGAGATTGCGTATCATTTGTTGTACTGGCTATCTATTACACCGTAGAGAAATTGAACTTAGATATGTGTTTAATAATCGCGATTTAAACTTTAAAATTTATATTTTTCTGCCACTAGTAAGTTATGGCCATGGCTTGTGATTTTTTTTATTTTATAAAATATCTTACTAGTTTTTTTGTTAATTTACTAATATTTCCTTTAACCATTCCAACTAAGCTGTATGCTTGTGCTAGGATATGGTTTACGACAATAGCCGAATGGCGGGATTCGAACCGTCGACCTCAAGATCGGTAGTCCGTACCTCACACCTTTAGGCTATTGGCGCTTATAAACTGATTATTGACTAAACCTAAATGTAAATGTTAAATTAAGTTATTTTGTGTTGTCGAAGTAGTAGCATTAGATGAAGTGTAGTTAACTTTGTTACTGTTATCGAATTTAAATTCGTAACGGTGTAACTGTCGTCCACGGATGCCATTCCTACAGAGGTTGATGAATAACATAGCTCACGAACACATTACGACGTTGAATGCTGACGTATCATTTGTTACCTACTAACTACGCAATCTGGTTTCTGGTAACGTCCTAATAACCGCAATTCCGCTGCCTAAAACATATTGCTTTCTGTCTTTTTCATAGAGAATGAGAAGGATAGCAATGTTTCCTCCTTAACATAAAGTGCCTTATACATTACACACCTCGTTAAAGCTGAGTATAAGATGCGTTTATCATGAGCAGTTAAATTACGAGTATATGTAAAGGTGTGAATCCATTATCTGACTTAATCAGTAGCATATATTACGGTAAAAAACATCAAAAATTATAAAAAACAGCTTTTTTTAAGAAATAAGAAAAATCTTCTTATAAAACTTTGTATATATTTAGTAATTTAGTAATTTAGTAACTTAGGCTTAGCTTATAAATGCAGACAAGAAATAAATGCGAAAATCACTAGTACTTATAAACTAAAGGCTGGAGATATCTGATCTCTGAAGATAATTTGGACTCGTCTTTCGCAAGTTCCGCTACCATTTCCTTAGCGCGGTTGTTCGCGTATTCATGTTCACAATCGTGACGGTCGACCATTTTAGATAGAGCCATTCTTAACTGTTCTCTTGCACCGCCGCTAGATGACTCTACCAGAGTTTTCATTACATCTGGAGAGAAACCCTGAAAAGATAAATGAAAACTTTATATGTATACTAGCTTTCCCCTGCGACTACGTCCGCGTGGAATTAATTAATCTATGTGTTTTTCCAGATTATGTTCTACATCTGTACTAAATTTTATCGAGATCCGTTCAGCAGTTTAGGTTAAAATCTCTAACAAACATCCATCCATCTAAACTTTCGCATTTATAATACAAGTAAGATTAGTAAGACTAGATTTTATCTTAATAAGTAGCCTATGTTTCTTCCAGATTATGTACATTTAATGGTAATTCATTATAAAGTCTTAGACAAGAGAATAATCTATAATTCTTTTTAAAATACTCACATAAATATCTTTCTATTTATTGACCTATAAACTACAATAAACTTTATCTATTGAAATAGTTCTTATTATTCAAGGAATACTTCATGCTATCTTATTAAAAGTACAGCGTGGGCAGATTCCATGAAGTTATTTGTATAAAACATTTTTATTAAAAGATGTTTCAACCTACGTAAAATGCAAACAAGCTTACAAAGTAAAAAGAACAGAAATAATATGATAATTTTCTAAATCGAGTCTAACAAACATTATTTTCGTGTTTTATTATTTCGATTTAAATAATATAACCCTTGTAAAGGGTTTAAAATCGTTTTACTTAAAAATTATACAGACGAATTGAGTAACTCTTGCTTTATAAGTTACTAGCTTTCGTCCGCAACTACATCCGTGTGGTATAAAAAAAACAAAAGCGAGTAAGTAGCTTATGTATTCTTCCAGACTGTACTCTACATTTATGTAAAATTTCATCGCGATCCGCTTAGTAGTTTAGGCTACAAACTAACAAACATCCATCCATCTTAACTTTCACATTAATAATATTAGTAAAATTATCCTTTCATAGGAAGAGGTGTTTATCTGCATGGTTTACTAAAGCACAATAATTCTTTACTTACACTATAGTCTGAGAGTCGCTGTCTCTTCGCTTCTCTGCTCAAAAGATCGTACAAAAGCAACAGACGTAGGTTTGAGGACGATAGTTTCCCTTTAGGACCTGGTTCTGCTGGATTCGCTCTCAGTCCTTCCCAAACGTCAACTAAACGATCATCATTTGGATCGTATGCCATTCTGATCATTTCTCTTACATTTTTGGACAAATACTGAAGATTATCTTCAGATATTTCGTCCAAGTCAAAACCTTTAGAGCGACTTGAAATCTTGTCGAAGTCGGATTCAAAATGAGGTGGTAATAAATGAGATGCATCAGGTGTCGGTTCTAATAATGGCTTAACTTCTTCATGATGTGCAGACAATAATGGCTCTTCACTTCTTACGTTTTGGGGTTGGATTGGGTTGTATTGTGGAAAGTCGAATGTCATGACCCCGTATTGTTGGTTTTGTTGTGGGTATTGCTGATTTTGGATCAATGGATTGTATTGTTGAGAGTAGAAGTTGGTTTGTTGATTCTGTGTGACGTTGAATGGTTGGTTTTGGAATGGAGCATTGTATTGTTGTTGAATCTGTGGCGGGAAATCGTATTGTTGATTTTGTGTCTGAGTGTTATACTGTTGCGAGATTTCATATTGTTGTTGACTTTGCGTCGGAATGTTATATTGTTGCTGATATTGTGTTGTAAAGGGTTGTTGCTGGTTTTGTGTTGAGGAGACATATTGTTGCTGAGTCTCTGGTTGGTTATTGTATTGTTGTTGGTTCTGAGTCGGAATGTTGTATTGTTGATTTTCGGTTGGAACATTATACTGTTGCTGACCCTGTGTCGGAATATTATACTCTTGTTGACTTTGTGGCGGAATATTGTACTCTTGTTGATTCTGTGGAGGAATATTGTACTGTTGTTGATTCTGTGGAGGAATATTGTACTGTTGTTGATTCTGTGGAGGAATATTGTACTGTTGTTGATTCTGTTGTGGAGCATTGTATTGTTGATTTGGTGGTGGACTATTGAATTGTTGATTCGGTGCCGGAATATTATTTTGTTGTTGGTTCTGTGGAGGGCTTTGGAACTTGTACTGTTGCTGTTTTTGAGCTTTAATCCTTTCGGAGGGCTTGGGTGGCGCTGAAGGAGCGTAGTATCCAGGCCGATGGAAGGGTGTTGTCACATCTCTGGAATGTTAAACATAAAAATGTAATTATAAATCATTAATAATTGCTTACGACAGTTATTTTCTTCGATATAAAAGGCTGTATATCAGTATAGACAACTACGGATTAAAAACAACTGAATATATTACATTGGGTATTTAGACCCAATACTTACGCAATAATGACCATAACAAAAAGCTATTTTCATTCATCATCATCATCATCATCACCAGCTCACTATACGTCCCCACCGAGGGGCTCGGAGCCTACCCTAAAACGGGGTGACTAGGCCATAGTCAACCACGCTGGCCAAGTGCGGGTTGGTTGACTTCACACATATCTTTGAATTTCTTCGCCGATATGTGCAGGTTGCATCACGATGTTTTCCTTCACCGTAAGAACGTAGGGTAAATTATGTACATATGAAAATTCTAAAAATCGAAAATCACATTGGTACACGGCGGCGGGATTCGAACCCAAGACCTGTGGATTACAAATCAAGTGTTCAAACCACTGAGCCACCGACGCTCTTCATATATTTTCATTCGCAAGGGAGGAAATTTAAATCAAGGTCGAAATTATTGAAACAGAATTTGTACAATGAAAGTACAATGAAATAAAAAATCGTCAGTATTTTTTGTCTGTTCTGAAAGGCGTTGATTTTCCTTCTTTTATTTTGCCTTTCGTATTCGTTATATTTCGTACGGAAAAACACGTCGACACTTCTCCAGTCAATTGAATTATAATCTGTTGAAATTGTAAAGCCTTTTGAAGATGTTCGATTCTAAATATAACTGACATTTTCCGAGCGATCTTTGTTCCTTTGAATTGGATGAATTGAAGCGGCATCTCGATATCAATAAATTTTTGAATACAAAGTAAAGAAGGTAGGTGTCTACTGCTAGAACATCTATCTCTATTTGTTTTATAGATAATGAAAGAGATGGCAATCGAGATTATACTTTAATCTTAAAATGTTAGTCATTAGTCATTCTGCATTCTTACAACAATCTCTTGTTTGAATATTTAATTCAAACAAGAGAATAAAAGAGATAATAAAGGTCACAATTAGATGTAAATAACACGAAACAAAAAGAAAAGAAGGTGAATTATTACATATATAAAAACTAAAAGCCATTAGCCAATCGTGTGTTAATAAAATAAAAATGTTAGCCGCCTCACCTTTTATAACCTAAAATAAAACAAAAACGATAGGTCCGTTTAAAAAGAACAAAAAACCACAGAGTAGATCTTAACCTTGAAATGTCATTTGATATCCACCACCTTACGATTTGTTATTGTATTTACGAAAATTAGTTTCCCATATATTTTTGATCATAAAGTCATCGAAAATCTTATAAGAATATCACATTAATGTGCCATTATAGCATCAAGTCTTATTTGTATTAAAAACAATCAAACATCATGATTTATCAATTTGAAATTAGATAATACTTGCTTTTGCCTGCACCCCGTCTGCGTGTTATTAAAAAAACAAAAGTAAGTATGCGTTCTTACAGACTATCCTCTACATCTATGCAAGATCCATTTAGCCCTTTGGGCTCAACTCTAACAAATATCCATCCAACTAAACATTCGCATTTAATATATTAGTAAGAAGTAACATTGGGAGTAACAAGTAACAAGACAATTATAGCACAGCCAAGAACCTATTAAAGACATAAATCCGTTGAGAGGACCTTCACCTCTTATTGCCAGACATCCACCACCTTTCAAATCTGGGTCTCAATGTGTCAAAGTAATCAGATGTGACGTACAAAGGTTTAGGCGTTGTCGGTTTCGTTGTCGGCTTGGTCGGCTTCGTTGTCGTTGCCTCTTCTTTAACTTCAAACGCCATCTGGTCTGTGAGATGTGCTATCACTTGCATCGCTACCGGTAAATATGAATCCGATAGTTGGACATGCTGTTTCGCTGCGTCTAACTGGAAAATAAATTTTATATTTAATCTTTTTAGTGCATACCCACTCCTTTACTTAACCTGTTCTAACTAACTAGCTACTCTATGGTACTTTTCAGATATCAAAGTTTTTTTTATGCAGCTGCAGTTCAAGAAAACTTTTAATCATGTTTATATATGTACTGTAACAAACATTTACTGAAACCTGTTGTTCTACGTACAAAACTAGATGGCGCCACCTGTATTTTAAAACACGATGTTGTATCACATG